TGAAATTAGTTAACGCCATGTGATATAGATATTTTTTTTTATATTTATAATAAAATAAGTTGGTAGTGCTTTACCAATGAAAATGTCTTCATTCAAGCAAGTTTGTTTCGAGCACTTTTGAATCGTCCAAAAAAAAGAAGAACAAGCGATTGAAACTTACCAGCGCTCTTAATCATAAGTAATGACATTTACATAAATCATGTCATTACCAAAATAGTACGTATTATAACAATAGTAAATACAACTTTCAAAGTCTGTAGGACTGTTGGTACATATAATTAGTCGTTATAGAACAAAGCGAAGGCTTTTAATTCCACGCATTGCGGTCCTTAAAATAATCATCAACTTTATAATCATAAGTATGTTCTTTACATAAATTTTAAATTTATTTATGGGTAGGTCAATTACATTTTGTGGATGTTTTTTGAAAATAGCAATGCATTTACCCAGAAATGATCTTCTGGTTTTTTGAAGTCTGAAGCTTGAAACGCCAAGTGTAATTTATTTCTTGTGTTAAGATTATGAGCACTACTATAAATAAATCCTATATAGCGCGGACAGCTCTCTTTTGTATAATAAAAATATCTTGAATGCTAGCCGCAGAACCCCACAACAATAGACCACACGTCATTACACTATGAAAATAACTAAAATATACTAATCTTGCCGTTTAAACATTTGTCAATAGTCTAATTTTCTTAGTAGCAAATGCTGCAGAACTCAGTCTACTTGACAAGTTATCAATATGAGGATCCCATTGTAGTCGGGAATCTAGTGTAAGAATTTTTTCGATTCTACTAACTCAACTTTTCCACTATTTACATTTATAAGTGTACTAACATTTCTCACATTATTTAGGTAATGCAAACTTTATGCATTTTATTTTATTTGAATCAAAATTAGTTGTTATTTTATCTAATTAACCAAAATAATAATTTGTCCTATAAAAACCAAACGATCAATACTCAATTGGAAATCAAGCTTTTGTAAAGAAACGCTTCTTCAATTTAATTACGACATGAGAACAGAAATTCTGCTCTACTCCACCAATGTTCTATGAAGGAACAATTTTTTTGCTAATATTATAGATACTTATTCATGTTCAGTAAATAAACCTTCTAACAACCCTGTTATATCATATTTTAGTCTGTGAATGCACATCGTAACAACATCATAACTGTCGGTAACCTCTTGACCAAGAATGCGTCCGCAGCCGTATTCGACGCATCATAGTACTTGATGGTGGTCTCCACGTCACTCCGTGCGTCCACTTTAATGATCCCATTGTCTCCCACTGCCAGTTGTCAGCTGTCCTCAACCACCACTCGCGGAGCCAATTCAATATTGTTACCAACAACTGGCATATCATCAAGATAATAAAGTCGAAACTTGTGTAAACGAACCGTCTGGTGTAAGTGGTATCGAGCGCAGAAATGAATGGACATGCGATAGTGACAGTTACAGTAGGCAGTGTGGTACCGGTAAAAATGATCTAAAATCTTCTAGTTGACAGTCCATCAATTCTTGTTTCGGAGCAGACCGATGATCTTTAGATTGTGAAGACATTAAGTAGTGAAAAGATGGAGAAAGATAAAGTAAGCAACTAAAGGCAAATTATCATGGAAAATAAATATATGCCAATATAAAAATATATTAACACCTAGTCTTCAAATTTATGATGTTATTTGTGATGGAAAATGGTAAATCCACTTTGCCCTGGTACTCTGAGATGGGATTTAATCCCAGGTAGATTTTAAAGCCTTTTTCACTAATAATGTTTTCCAGTATAGCATTATAAATGCAAAATTGCTCAAAAACATGTGTATGTTTTTAAATAAATAACGTGTTTTAAATTTTTTTATTGATTGCGAAACGTGATATAAAAATTAAAAAGTATTACATTGATAGAACCTTGTGATGATGATTTTATGTACCTAACAAGTTTTAAAGATTTTAATAAGTCGATTACTATCAAGTTAGTAAGTGTGTTGTTGATATTTGCACTTTGGTCTTCTCCTTCAGTCCTTTAAACTATAGCTGTTATTTCGTTCGTATTATTTGCACAATACTCGTAAAGCCAATTTTTGTGAAAACTCATAAGATTTTTAATTTAACCCCTTTGCCATAATATAGATTAACAGCACTAATATTAAACTATTAAACTTTTCAAACAATAAATATGATTCTGAATAAAAAAATGTACTACGAAGTGTTCTGAAGATCAGAAATAAAATAAAACAAAAACAAGTGTCAAAATTTCCAATTATTTATTTATTGAAAATGTTTGATTCGAAAATAATAGGAAAGGAAATGTATTTTTCAACATGAACGGCGAAGTCTCTTCGCAATTGTGTTGCATGAATCATGACAATATCAACAATTATATAAATGAATGTCTTTAATTATGCTCCAGCATATCAAGCCCAATCAATATCAGAATACTTCACAAATTGCTTAATGTTTATACAAGTGATATTCTTCATTTGTATACTTCAAATTCAATAAAATTCCGTAAAGAATGTGAGACCATTAATCGTTGTCACATATACAAATACGTGTACACATGTTTGTCATATGACCAAGAAATTCGTTATAATGTTACAAACAAACAAACACTATTGTTCTTACAGTGGAAACTATCAAGTGTCGACACGATAACACCACAGGATTTATTTCTTCGTATCAATTGGAAGATATTAAAACTATGTATGACAATGTACGTACGTTTAATGATTTATTGGACAATAAGACTTGATAAATTGTGCTATTAGTTTTAAGCCTCTAGCACTAGCTAAATGTGACAACGTCCGTTTTTGTAGAATCGTATCGTATCGTAATTATTATAAATAATAAATTATTATTAATATTGTAATGATATTAAATCAGGAAACCCTCAATTTTACGACAACTCAAGGAAGTGTCAATAAAGAGACCGTCATAGATGGGTCCCAAAGTGATTTATATTTTGTTGCTCTCAAATCTTCTGGTTTAAACAAAGATTTTATGATACCAATATATTAATTAATAATATTTTCTCCAAAAAACTGTGAGTCTGTTTATCTACGGGCGTCCGGCGAGACGACAGGTACGATTTTCGTGACCAAGCGAAAAAATCCAGTTTGAAATTTCAAATTCAAACTAAAACAAGTCTTAACGCATTTGAATTATGAATGTGTTAAGTTTTATAGAGCTCCTGTATTTGTTAGATTTCCACGTTGGATGTTCCATCACTGTCAATTAGTTGCAGTGAAGAGTCCTCATCAATCATAAACGCTCTCTACTGCGCTGAGTTCTACCCTCAGGGTCTATTGTTTAGATTTTGAATCCGTACTATTTGGAATATTTCTATTAACACATATTTTAATTTGAAGATCTTTATCTGTTGTTATCTATAAAGTTTGACATTAAAATTTTGTGTTTAGATATTGATTTGGAAAGTCATTTTAATTATTATTTTCATTAAATGTAACTTAAATATTATACTGGTATTAATAAAATTTTGTATTACTTTATACTGTCTATCATTAAATTCTATGATTTATACAATTGATCGTCATATTTTATCAAATGTCATTAAATCAAGATTAATTTCTTAGTAATAATTGTTATCCTATATAATACAAGAATCAATGCGTCAATCAAAAATCTGGCACTTAGTGACATTAACCCTACTATCAATTATAAAACCATCACACTATGTTCGTATTCACGATCCTCGCCATTATTGTTAGGAAAATATCGTCTGATCGAATGATCGTTTTAAAATTCACATTGTAACTGCGAATTTATTCAAAGAGGGTCAGGTGTCCCCAAACCGGCCGCACGATGTCAAGTTAGCGGACGCACATGTCAGCCAGTCTCAATTCTACGACCGATCGTCAACTCCACCATAGAGTAGCGAACGACCCTAGAAACTCTTTACAATCTGCTGGAACCAAGAACACTATCGCTCGACTTTACTGGCCAACTTATTTGGATCGCGTGCACGTCGTCGCGCGGGAAAGAGAGCACAATACCTGTCACATAAACACGAGTGATTGATTGACCCGCACCCGACTAATGCTTATAGGAAGCCATAAACAGCTGGCGATTTTGTTCGGAACTTTTTAAAAGTTGCTACCACTCGATCTGGGATATGATTTCTGTCAAATCACGATTGCTATTTTGAAATGAGCATGACTGAGTGATCTTAAGTTTAAATTGCTATTTAATTCATAAAATCCATTTTTTTGACTAGGAAGACTTGATATTTAAAAAAAAAATATGTATATCCACCTATAATTAATATTGTGTTGTTTTGATGACTTCATTCTATTAGGCTGCTTTTGACTAGTCTTATTAGATTATGTTTTCTATTTTTTTCTTTCTTAGCTTCGTTAATGTAACATGCTGCCTTTGTAAAAATAAATAAACCCAGAAATATTTCCCTTTGTCAAAGCAGGAAATCTGTTCATGATACGCGTAAATCCGTCCTCGTCCCCTGTCTGTCCCGGTGTTGTTAAAAGGACTCGTCTCGGCGTTTTGTTAACGCGCCATTTCCTTGTCAACGCCGTCAACCCTGTCCAGCCAATCTCCTAAGCCCCCGAGACTTACATCTTGGCTTTATTGTGCGAGAATAAACATATGAAAATGTATGTGTAACAGAGATTTTGTAAACGATCTCATTAAAAATATGTCGCGCCTATTGGTCATCAAAGCTCCTTTTGTACGCTTTCCTTGGAGTTGGGACGATGAGTCAGCTATGCGGAGTAGCTCTGCTGTGTCAGACGGCTGTCATCAAAACGATCGCCCGTCACTGCACGTCCACCTCGCGCATCGCACGCACGCTTGCATTACGCAGCGCCACCCCTCGAAGTGGAATACTGACAGCCGTCTCTTTCTTTCCGGTCAAGCGGGGTACCGTGGTGGCAACTGTCTCGCTCGTTTGCGAGGCGTGCGGGGCGGGGGCGCTGCAGGCGGGTCGTAAATCACGCGGTGCCTCATTCCGCGCGGGACCGCCGCCGCCGCCGCAGGCATCGCACATTTCCCTCCTGGCCGCCGATCACGGCGCGTCTTCCGCGACGAGTTTACATTTTCCAACCTATTTCTGGGAAGTCTATTAGTTGAATTTTGTGTTCGAATTCGAGTGTTGTTTGATGGATCTGATAGTTGTTCGGGCCTTAACGTATTGGATAAGCTGCAACAATTTTGTCCAAAATGATCGTAGAGCCGGACCACGTGAGGTATGTTTTTTGTTTGATCAAGTGTTATATTGTTTTTATTAGCGAATTTATCTTGTTTGTTATTTTTAAAGTTGTTAGTTTTAATAATTATTTTAACACGTTTTATTGTTTCATCATACGTTTAACTAAGCGTTTTCATCGAACATACCATTTTTGTTTTTGTACAAAAGTTCTTATTTTTGTTGTGTAGTGATTGTAAAATCGTCTTCTAATAATATTTATATAATTTTTCTTTAAAAATATCGACGTTTCTAATCTCGTCTTCAATTCAAGTCTTCAAATTTGTTTTTTAATATACATAATGTAATTATATACTTGAAATAGAAACTATTAATCTTATCCTAGTAGATTTGTTGATAGAAGAAATGATTTCCAAAAAATATAAGCACGTTATAACAATATTTCTTATTTAATTCGTAAATTTGCTAACTTATGGTGACCATTGAATTTGAATTTTTAAAACTTGTTCCGATCATAATTCTTTAATAATTAACAATTATAGGTTTAATTAGAAATATTAAGTGGGAAAACTGTGTTTGACATTACTTTAGATAGAACAATACCCACACGAACTTTATTATTTCGTATGAGAATTCACATTTTAACTACATCTTAAAAGTGAACACGAGCTAAAAAAGCAAGTTCAACTACAACTACATAAAATTTGGTCATTTTTGTTTGAAAATAAGTCTAAATGTGTCAATATTAACACTTATTATTTATTTTTGAACGATTTATGAATAGTTAATGATATTCTCCTGCTGAGATTACAAAATTGTATTCTTGTAAACTGAGTCGGCATAATGCAAGGATTCGTATTTGTAATTGACACAAACACTTTAAAATAAAATCTGTTGCATTTTTTATGTTAATGGAACAAACAAATAAACGAAATGAAATAAGCATAGACTAAAAATAACCAAATGACCAATTAAATATCCGATAGTAATCTTCTTTTCTATTTTTAAAACACAAGCCAATAAATTAATTCTGAATTCCAATAAAATCTTGGAAGTGGCATGAATATGTATTATTGATAATCTTATGAGATGTTTGGAACGTGCATTTACAATTCTTATTTTAGTCTTTGTAGGAAAACAGTAGCAAATAATGTCATTTTCTTAACTCGTAATCGACACCCTTTGCAATTCGATTTTAGTTTAGATCGTTATGAAGTTCAATAGACTAATATTGAGTGGTTTAAATTTGAGGTCACAAAAGTTATCTTGAAAGAAAAGTCTCTTTAATTTTATACGTTTTAACAAATGTCTAAAAGCATTTATTCTAATTTAGTATGTTTTTCTTTGTCTACAGAGAGAGTCCGCGATGTTTATCTCGGGAGTCATCTGGAGCTCCACGGTGTCCCTCCAATGACTCCGTGTATTCGGGCCGCAGCGGACCGGGACTGCCCCTCTCCGCTGCGCTGACAGCCGCCCTCCCAGCCGCCCTCCCCGCTGCCCTCCTGCCCCCGCACTCCGCCGCAGTGGCCGCCTACCTCGGCGCTGCCGCAGCTGCCGCCGCACAACAACGACTCTTGATGTCCTGCCAAGAAGACCTTACCGATTCCGAACGACCCGATGCAGTACTCGACTTCAGTACAAAACGTAGTGAGTCCCCACGTGATGACGAAGATGCCGATGACGCTGTCAATCTTAGTAAAAATGAGAATGGACCCCTCGATCTATCGGTTGGTACGAGAAAGCGAGGTCCGGAAGACTCGCCATCTCCGGTTCCGACGAGGAAAAGCTCTAGATCTTCTGATTTCAAACCGTCACCTTCACCGTGGACGACGCCTGTGGCGCCACATTTACCTTACTTCGCTGCTGCCGTAGCTGCGGCAAGCTTGTCTCCTAAAGGAGGCGTACCTGCCGATTGGAATGGTAAACTAAAACATGGAACTCCTACGCCGAACGACGCCACTAAGGCACTTGAAAAAATGACTGAGTTGAGTAGACTAGGTGGAGAAGAATTATTTCGATCGGCTGTTCAAAGCGCTGCACTGGGTGCGGGCTTAGCACCTAATGCCGCAGCCAGACATTCAGCTTGGCAATCGCATTGGCTAAATAAAGGCGCGGACCAAACAAAGGATGTCCTTAAATGCGTTTGGTGCAAGAAAAGCTTTAATTCTTTAGCAGATTTGACCGTACACATGAAAGAAGCGAAACACTGTGGTGTTAATGTTCCTGTGCCTCCTTCAGGAGGCGGGCCTATACCACCATCTCTACAACCCCCGTCTAGTTCTCCATCAACACCTTCTCACAACTCATCGTCGTCCAGTAGTTCATCAAAGCCCAATCAAAATGATTTGAACATGTTAATTAAGGAGAATATGCCAATTCCTAGGAAGTTAGTCCGCGGGCAAGATGTTTGGTTAGGCAAAGGCGCTGAACAAACTAGGCAGATATTAAAATGCATGTGGTGTGCGGAAAGCTTTAGATCATTAGCTGAAATGACTAGCCATATGCAGCGTACTCAGCACTACACGAATATAATATCGCAAGAACAGATTATATCGTGGAAGTCTTCTGATGACGCCAAAGGTTCTAACTCTAGTGGACCGGGTAGCAATAACACAGCTCCGCCCACCACTGGCACCAGTAGTCACGTAAGCGCGGTGTTAACTTGTAAGGTATGCGATCAAGCATTTAGTTCCTTGAAAGAATTGAGTAATCACATGGTCAAAAATTCACATTACAAAGAACACATAATGCGATCTATCACAGAAAGCGGAGGTAGGCGACGACAAACGCGAGAAAAGCGAAAGAAATCTTTACCGGTTAGAAAGCTTCTTGAACTAGAGAGAGCACAACACGAGTTCAAAAATGGGGAAGGTAATGGTGTCCCCATGGGAAAACCAATTAGGGACTTTGGAGCGGGTAGTAGAATTACTTGCGAAAAATGTGGCGATAAAATAGAGACTGCTGTGTTCGTTGAGCATATAAGACAATGCATAGGTGCGCCCATGTCGAATAACCAAAGGAATTTTCTAAAAAGCGCACTTTTGTCGAATAATATTATCCCTCCTGAGGTACCTGGTCATGTAACGCCGACGAGCCGCGATGGTCGCAAGAGCATAAACGATGAACAGCCTTCTCCAGGTTCTGCTCATCATCGCTCTCCTTCTTCCGTGACTGATTCTTCTCCAAGTTCCAAAGATCCTAACGCAAGCAACGATCAAAGCTCGTCCCCTTCTGTTCTTAATGCTATAGAACAACTGATAGAAAAAAGTTTTGACACGCGATCTCGGCACTCAGTGCCTGGCATGCCTGGTGGGGCCGCGCACGCACCTATCGGATCTAGCATTCTAAAAAGATTAGGCATAGATGAGAGTGTAGACTATACAAAACCATTGGTTGACCCGCAAACGATGAACATGCTTAGAAATTATCATCACCAGCAGGGCTATGGTCGTAGAGAACGAAGTGGTAGTGAATCGAGTTCCATGTCTGAGCGAGGAGGCAGCAGAGTAGAGTCTCTTACTCCGGATAGAAAGTTAGATGCGTATCACATGACCCCTCGCACTACTCCTGATACACGCGGTTCCCAAACTCCCGCTTCTGAAGATCGCCCCGCTGAGATTAGGATAAAAAAAGAAGTCACAGAGGAAGAGGAACGTGAAAATGGGGTTGATCTGAGCAATCAACCTATAAGAGTTAAAACTGAGGTTGACGACGAAGAAGATCCACCTCGACCGAATAGCTCAGCAGACGACGATGTAAAACCCACCGTTCCTAAACGTGAAAGCGAGGGTCCAAGCCCCGCGGCTAGTCCACGGAGCCCAGCTAGCGATCGTTCTACTCATACTCCAAGCGGGGACAGAAAGCCTCCGTCTAGTTTAGGCGCGCTGTCGTCTATGTTCGATAATCTAACTGGAGGCGGAACCTCCAACGAGCCAACTTCATCTCGCCGCAGTGGCAGCCATCCTTTAGCTGCTCTTCAAAAGTTATGTGATAAAACTGAAACGAACCCCGCCCGAGCGCCTCCCCCTGCGCCCTCTCCGGCCGGTCCCCCGAGCATCCTGACCTTTAGTTGGGCTTGCAACGATGCAGTCGTCACCGACTCCATCATGAAGTGCGCTCTTTGCGACACTCCGTTCATATCTAAGGGTGCTTATAGACATCATTTGTCTAAAATGCATTTCGTCAAAGACGGGGCTCTTCCTGAGCCGGTGCCTATGAAAGCACCTCCTGCCGCCTCGTCTCCGAGCACTCATAAGAGTGGAGGCTCCAACGCTGCTTCGCCGCAAGATCCTCGAAGTCCCTCGCAATCGTTTGACGAAAGTCCCCACTCCAAGTTCCTCAAATATACGGAACTTGCGAAGCAGCTTTCCAGTAAATACGTGTAGACTGTTAGGGTCTGAAGGGCCATCAGTTGTGATGATATCATATCCTGCTACGTATAACCTTGCTAGGGTCGAGTCGCCTCGGCGACGCCAAGTATTTTGAAACTCTTTGCCAATTTAACTATTTAGGTAATTATTGTTAGTGGTCACCGCATAGATCGGTTAGTGTAATTAACGATTAGCGACTTAAGTATACGCCAAACGTCTTACGTTCATTATATGTAAGAGAATATTTTCAAAATATTGCCTTTAGGTGAAGTACAGTCGAGAGGCCCGCGGGCTGCGCTTATCTTCCACACTACTGTAATTCCATTTCGATAATTGTAAATATAAGTCACATTAAGTCATAAAGTTCGATTCGATCTCTTGTAAATGTATATTTTTTGCTAATAATCTAAAAAAAGCGATACTTTCGTAATTTTAATTGCAATTTGCCTTTCGCATGTGATTGAATAAGATGGCGGCGTCGCGTTGTCGTTCTTGCAGTATTTTTAAAGAAATCGTTGCAATATCTTTTTTTTATGTTACTTAATTCTTTTTATTGTAAATCAGAGTTAGGGTTAACTTGGTGTTTAGTTTATTTTATTTTTATGTATATTTTGAAGTTTTCATTTGTTTTCTTGTGGAATCAGAGATCCGTCGTTGCCGCAATCTCACGAGATCCAATCTCAAGTTATGTTCGTGTTGTATATAATGGACATGGAGCTCGTTCAATCAATCTCTTTAGTGTAAATTTGCTCTAGGCGCGCATTCGGTGCGATATGCTATTTATTATTTAGTAATAAGTAAAATAATATTAGGAGACCCACATCTGTGACATTCTTGTATACCATTATGCCCGCATATTGAAAGGTTGTTGTAACCATGCTATTATTATTATTATAATTAAAAAGAGAAGTGATACGTTTTACAGTTTTTTGGTTTGTTTTGAAAGGATTGACATACATTTGTATACGTTTAGGGCGTTCAGATTATTGTGAGATATCTTCCAATGTAACAACAGATATACGAATTGTATATACGGTACATGCGAGTGAAAAACTCTTTTATATTTAATAAAAAAAAAATAATAATATTGTAACTGTGTATTGTAATTGTCAATGGTGCGGTATCGCAATATGTGAGCTGGCAATTAGTGGCATAATATTAACGTCAAATTACATGTAAAGAAAAAAAAAAAACTGAATTAAATCAAAAAGTGTATGTTCAAAATGCAGTTATATCTCTCGTGGACAAGTAAATATATTTATTTAATTTTTTTTTACCTTATTTGTGCCACTTAATGCCAGTATGTAAAATTAAAAATTTTAAATCTATAAAACTATCATTTTATCGATAATAATGAAACATACGACAAATATTATGTATACGCTAGCTCTGATGAGAGGTTTTTGCTCATTCTTTAAATAAAAAAAATGGTGTTAAAATATTGATTTTACCAAATTTAATAATCTTATTTAATATTTTATGTTGTATTTCAAAATGCAATTAAAAGCTCAAAGAAATATATATGTTACATACATTAAACGTCTATTTCATTTTATACGTATAAATCCTTTATCTAAGTTAGTAATTATTTTTAAAACGAATAAAAAAAACTGCTGTTGTTGAGGTTGTAACACAGAGGTTCAATCAGATTTCATTACTTATTGACACTATATACTGTCACAGCGGCAACGCTGTGCTCGACGACGAGTATGAAGATGTTTTAGAATAGCACAGAAGATTATTACAGAACGCCAAACTGGAATCAATTTTGAACTTAAGGCTGTGCGAAAAGAATAAAAAGAAAAAGTAAAATAGGATACGAGACGAAATCAACGCGCTAGTCAATGAGAAAGGGAAAACTACAAAATCTATTTCCTATCAATTACTTGCAAATTATACGATTATAAGTAAAAGAATAACTGTAAGTTTTCGGTGAAACTTTTATTATCAACATCTGAAATAACGAAGGTACCGAACATAACACTGACAGAGAAAATATAGAAAAGTAACAAACTACATTGATCCGATCGGGAATCGAACCCACAACTTCACAAATGGCAATAGCATTCGAATAGGTCCTAACGTATTGACGACCATACAATAATAGGAACTACATTTTTTTTTATTGTATTACTGCGAAGGTAGTATGGAACCGTTACGCCAGAAGAAAACAATATGTTGAATATTATAATCTTCTTCCAGCTTCTTCTTTCAGCCTCTGGGTAGATTGCCTGAACTTTGATAAAAATACGCTCTATAGTACTGAAAAAGTAACAAGACCTCGAAGAATTCGTCAGTCCTATTAAGTCCTGGGTAGCTCAGTGGTTAGAGCAGTCGCCCGGATTGCGAAAGGTAATGGATTCGAATCCCATCTCCGAGTACCAGGAACAAAGTGGATAAGAATTTTTCATTAAGAAAATTTTCCAGTATAGCATTGTGAATGGAAAATTTATCAAATATATTGTTTTGAATAATATTCCTATATTTGAACAATATTCCTGTAAAAATATTAAGAAGTATGTATCTTATATTTAATAATTTACATATCTTATTTTTAATTACAGCTTATTCGTGTTTTTTTTTTATTATAAAACAAATTACGCGCACTGAAAGGATATCTCTCCATCCAAGTTGCATATTAACGCGTTCGGTACGAGACTTCGCCTCTTCAGCAACAATTAATAATAACAATAATAATACTTTACTGCAAGCAACACATTGTTAGTTTTGCAGTAGTAAGAAATAATACCAAAATTTTCTTTATCTTTGTTTATTTATTAAAATCCATAGAGCACAAAATATATTATTATTTACCATAGATATACACTTTACTCTTTGATTTACAACAACCACACAAACTTAGCTTAATATATGGATATTAATAATACAGTGCAACAATTGACGGTCTTAACGCTGACTAGATCTCTGCCAGACAATCATTGGATGGAAAGGACTAAACAACATACTCGACTTATAGGACTCGTTATCATAGCGGGAAGTCTCATACAGCAGGCTTTGGAGGAATAGTTTTTTATTGTATGTTTCTAACAAATAAATAGCAACGCTCTTTTGAAATATGTGATAGTGGTAATCTCCTTTCAAAAAGGAGGTATCTGCCAATAACGACGCATTCGGAAAAACGCTCCTTAATATCGGGAACCAGATAAATATAAGGTACATAGTACCAATTCCTAATTTAATGATCATTCTACTTTCTTTGGTATGATTGAAACAAGTAATTATCCATGACGTGTAGCTCTCACCCAAAGTTCCAAAGGCCCATCTTATTGGCTTACCACGAATAAACGCCTTACTGGCTAGCTGGCTGTGTATTGAAACTAACAGAGTTCTGCCATTTTCATTTGCCTAATTCAACCAGCGAAACTTCGTCACCGTCGTTCCTCATATCGGAACCTGATGATGATTCACCGACATTTATTTCAGTGCTTTCAATTTTGACCCACATAAATTATGAAGAGACACCAGATGTTCAACCGCAGAATCTTCGTCAGTGGCTCCAGCGTTACAATTTTCAGAGGGAATGATAGTTATAGAGTCTGTAACAGATTAATCTTCATTATACTCCAGCTCCTCAATAATCTCATTTAGCGCAACACCTTTAATTGTCGTCTAAAAAATAATAATAGCAGTGAATATAACTACTTTTTGATATAAGTAACGCCAACTTTCACGCAAATATAACCACAGTAAATCTAATGCGATTGTTATTTTTTTTTTACTTCCAAATAAAAGTAACTTACTACTTTATTATTTCGTAAAACATGTAATAAATATAGAGATTGAACGTGCTATAACTAACCTTGGAAAATTCATGATGAAAAACCACTAAATTACAAGTCGCACCATTAAGACATGGTAAGCTATAACTACCTCAAACCATTTTTAATTGATTCGCACAATGAAGCTTGAATTTTTTTTAAACTACCCTCTTGTTGGTGAAGAAATTTATTTCTGAGTTGTTCTTTTCATTATATCAAGCAAAACAAGAAACTGAAAATTAGTAATATTCAGTTTACGTGTCCTTATAATAATTCTGTAATTTGTAATTTGTTGTATTTGAAAGTACTAAACAACAACTCTATTAATTTAATTTTAAAATTAATTATAATTATTTAAGTTGGTTTTTAGCATACCAATTTTAAAACAATCGACACTTTTCTACCTTACCTTAGTACTATTCAAGCATTTATGGAGTTCGCACCACGTACCCAAGGTTAGTCACGCTCATCAATCAACTAGTCTTATCGTCGATCAAGACTGGACAGAAATCTTCATAGCAAATAACTATAGTAAAAGTGTTTTTGTTTATTCTTTACCATTATGAAGAATATAATAGTAGGTCGGTGGCGGAGTGGATAAGCGCCGCGGCCCGCGATCGTTGTCGTTAAGCAACTTTCGCAAGGGTCGGTCACGGGGTGGGTGACCAAAAAGTTATTATCTCGAGCTCCTCCGTGCTTCGGAAGGCACGTTAAGCCGTTGGTCCCGGCTGCATTTGTAGTCGTTAATACCCTCTAATCCGCATTGGGCCAGCGTGGAGGGTCATGGCCCATCCCCCTTAACCATCCATAAGAAAGTCCTGAGCCCCTGCAGTGGGGACGTAAAAGGGCTGGTGATGATAATTGTGAAGAATATATTATTCTTGGGAAAATATTACAAATATTATGTGCTACGTGTATTTGTGCGAATGTTTATTGCTAATTCGAAACGAAATACATTCCTTTGAAATGAAATGAAAATATATTTATTCAAGTAGGCTTATTACAAGCACTTTTGAAGGTCAAAAAAAATTCCCCTATTATTTGTTCAGGATGTCTTTTAGCTGACAAGAGGAACAAGCGAAAAATACCTCTTTATCATAATTAATGACATTTACATAAATCATGTCATTACCAAAAAAATATGAATTATCACAATAATAAATACAACTTTCAAAGTCTGTAGGTCATAGGTTGTACATATAATTAGTCGTTATAGAACAAAACGAAGCCTATTAATTCCATGCATTGCGATCCTTAAAATAATCATTACTTTTATAATAGCCTTTACTCATAAGTATGTTCTTTACATGAAGTTTATATTTATTTATTTATGGATAGGTCAATTATATTTTGTGGAACTTTATTGAACATAGCAATGCATTTCTCCAGAAATGATCCTCTGGTTTTCTGAAGTCTGAAGCTTGGAACGGCAAGTTTATTTTTATTTCTTGTGTTGAGATTATGAACACTACTTTTTTCGTGAAGAAATCGTAATGTTTTCTTGCGTACATAATATTTTCATAGATGTATTGAGAGGCAAAAGTCAAAATATATATTTCTTTAAATATTTCTCTCAGAGATTCTCTAGACCGTAAATTATATATAGCGTGGACAGCTCCCTTTTGTAGAATAAAAATATCTTATATGCTAGCCGCAGCACCCCACAACAATAGACCATACGTCATTAGACAATGAAAATAACTAAAATATACCAATCTTGCCGTTTCAACATTTGTCAAGAGTCTAATTTTCTTAACAGTAATGCTGCAGAGCTCAGTCTACTTGACAAGTTATCAACATGAGGATCCCATTGCAGTCGGGAATTTAGTGTAATACCAAGGAACTTTGTCGATTCCACCAACTCAACTTTTTCACTATTTATATTTATAAGTGTTCTAACATGCCTCACATTAGGTAATGCAAACTTTATGCATTTTGTTTTATTTGAATTAAGCTTTAAATTATTATTACCAAACCACTGTAGAAGATTGTCTAGAGCAACATTGACATCGTCAAAACAATCGTCACCCCTCTTAACTTTATACACTAAAGAGGTGTCATTAGCAAATAATACTGTCTCGCACAAATTTTTCGCAAAGTGAGGAAGATCATTAATGTAAATTAGAAAAAGCAATGGTCCTAATATCAATCCCTGAGGTACGCCCATAGTAATGGATGCCTTTGTAGATTTCACTTCATTAATTACTACTTTTTGAATTCTAGCAGAAAGATATGATTTTATTAGATTAAGTAAATTTTTCGTCAAACCATGATGCTCTAATTTTCCCAATAGTATTTCATGACTAACGCAGTCGAATGCTCTTAACAGATCGCAAAAAATATTTTGCTTTTGCTGTAACACATACTGTATGTATTTCTTAAATTTTTTTTGATAATTTTCTACATATTCAATAAACTTTGGATCAGTCGAGGTATACTTTAGCCCATATAAATCATACAGCCTATTTCGACTTTTGTAGATGCCAGATGTCGCCCAAACACTAAATTTCTTCTTTTGGTTACTAAAGTTTATGTTTTGAATTAAAATGTTTTGTTAAATTCTCCCTTTATGAAGTTAAACAAAAATATTATAGACATCATTTATATTTTCCAAATCACTATCTGTCAACTGAGTCTGATTTGCAGAAACACTAAATTTCTCTGAATCACTTTTGGTAATAGGTCTACAAATTATATTGCATTTAGGAGAAACATTAAAAATACTTTCTAAATTTAAACATTTAAACGAGTTGAAAACCTTCTTGATTTAGCACATTTTATTAAAATATCTATATTAAAATCAACTTTGCAAACTAATTTTAATACATCCTCCATAGCAGATTCAAATTCCCCATCAAGACGTCTATGTACTTATAATAACATCCTCTTCAAGTTCCACACATGACAATTCAATATATCGTTCAATTGAGACAAACACTATATCTCTACGTTCTTTACATTTTAAATAATTATTTATTATTATTAAAGACCCACCTCGTTTGGCATTTATCCTACAGAATGAAATCATAATTTCATAATTTTGAAAACCCGTAATCAAGTCATAATTTTTGAGCCACCACTCTGTAATACATATTATATCAATATTCATGGTATTCAAACATATAGTTTGAATTATTAAAATTAGTTGCAAATTAATTAGTTTCTGTCAATTACATGTATTTTTTTATTATAATGAGCTATTGTATTTAATGTCAGATTTAACTTATATCTAATATAATTATCCTCCTGTGTCAAA